TGCTGCACCTTCCCACCTCTCCCTTGCAGTGTAATCACTGTCCCAGCACCTCTAAGGAAGAAAGGGGAGAATTGTAGTGGACGTTACAAGCGGGCTGAGATGGGCCTAATAGGAAATTAACAAAAGGAAATTTTAGGCTGAACTTTAAGAAGAAGCCTCCAAAGAGTCAGAGCAAAGAGACTCTTGAATAGGCTCCTAAGAAAAGGGATGTGAAGCCCCATTTGTTAGGATATTTAACCCTTGATTAGAAAAAAGGCCTGGAGATTAGTCTATAGGAAATGTACCACTCCCCCTGCCCCTTCCCTGCAGATGAACTTGATCATCTGAGAGAAAACAGGGTTGGAAAAGGCTTTTGTGAATCGATATCCTGTGAGACGAGACCCCATCTAGAAACATCTGATTTTGATTCTCTCTTATGCGGTTTCTAAGTTTTATAGGAGTCTGGTTTCCCCTCAGCAAGATGTTGTAGTTGTGTTTATATTTACCCTGAATACAAGACGGCACTTGTGGATGCCACGTCCCATTCGCCTGGCATTCAATCAACTTGCTGCCTTTGAGGATGTAGCCAAAATCACATTGAAATTCAACCACGTCTCCATACATAGTCTCATTTTCACGTGCAGTGATCTGTTTCCCATTTCTAATCACTGGGTTCAGACAATGGACCTCTGAGAAACACCAACAAACAAAAGGTTTCAAATGTTTTCATTCAGACAAAGGGTCTGTCTGTGTGAGCATGGGGAAAAATCAGTGTGAAATACAAGGGTGTGAATTAAAAGGACAACAACTAATTCCACAAAAATTCATCCCATCGACAACTCTTCTTCCATGCGAAGAGTGCTTCTTTGCGGGCTAGGCAAATTTTCTTCCAAAGCCACGTAGAGACCCTTTCCATTGTGGAGACTTGTTTCTGGGGTGGTTAGGGACTGGGAAGAGTGTCAGAAAACACTGACATCTAGAAATATTAATTTCCTTCATTATTTTAATTTCATTTAAAGAGACTATTGTTTCTAAAGGAAGTTTTGTTTCATGGACTGTCAAAAGTCAGTTCTTCCTTATGTGAGTGTCAGAGGGCATATACCATATTAGTCAAGAGCTGTTATTCTGTATTTTCCTGGGGAGAAAAGGTCTTGTTCCAATTGCATTTATTCAGGCTTCTATTAGCAAACTGCCATTTCTCTCTAAGAATACTCCCTGTGTTAGTGATTTTATTGGGTGAGATGCCACCATCTCTTTGGGGCAATTATGGCAGGGGAAGGGATAGAAGCCACAGATCCAGTGTGGGCAGTATAAACTTCAGATTACCCCAGCTCCTACTTTCTGCCCCATACATCTAACTGCACAGGCTTCTGAAAGATAGCAGGAATATAAGGAAACAAATGAAAATGACCTATGATGATAGCTATTTTAAATATAACAATGTCACTATATTGACTGGTCAGATAACTGGGAGCTTACTAGCAGTGTTGTTTGTCTCACTAGAAAAGGAAATTCCTGGCTTTTTAATGGCAACGAGCACCCCGCCCCATTTCTCACCCTGATGGATTATCCGATATTCTTTTTCACCTCTTTCAATGGTGCTGAACTAAGTATTTTGCCCATTCCAGATCTGAAGCCGGAGCAGGCAAAGGGATGGTTGGAGGGGCTGAGAAAAATCCACACAGCAAGTGGGGAGGAGTCACATTTGACACAGTATTTCTAAAAATATATATGAGCACTTTGGGACTGCTCAGAGGTTTGGAATGTATCAAGTCCTCACTGTGAATTAGGGTTAGTGTGCAGCATACACATGATCTGGGGGAAAGTTGTGCAATGAATACAGATTATCACCTGGTTGTAACATATCACACTGGTATCATCATGTGTATGGTATAAATACTTTCACCACAAGGCCAATAGCTCAGCTCACTCTTGGCCAGATTTTCAGATGTTGTGACAATTGGCACAACTCCAGCTGAAATCAATGAGCTCTGAAAACCAGGACTCAAGTGCCCCAAAGCAAACAAACACAAAGCACAAAAACTATGATATAGTCATTAAAAGCCATGGCATTGCAGTTAAACATGTAGCTTCATTGAAACAAAGACAATCAAGTCAAACCATCAGTCAGCTTACTCTGACAAATCTTTGTGATTTTGGACCATTCCAAGTTTTGAAGACAAGTCACGGTGGGAGATACTCCAGGGATGAGCATGTAACCAGTTACACAGGAATAGGTCACGTTGGTACCAACCCGAAACTCTCTCTTTTCTTCTGGGTCAGCATTGTCGACTTTTGGTGGGCTGGAACACCTCTCTAACAATGAAAAAAAACCCCAGCTATAAACAGAACAACAATATTTAATCTTGAACCTTACTGAGACCAAAGCCTCTATAACATGAAGATGACATGACACACACAATGGGATATAAAAATATCCTATCTTCTGACCTCAGTCTCAAAGGGGCAGCTGTATTAGTCTGTAACTTAAAAACAACAACAACAAACAGGTGATGCTGTAGCACCTTAGACATTAACAAAAAAATTATATTGTATCACGAGCTTTCGTGGGAACAACCCACTTGAAATTTAACTCCACTTACAAGAGTGCCAAATTTGGCTCATTCATCACAATAGTATAGAAAAAAAAATAGGGAGGCATTGCAGCTTGGAGCATGTGGTGATACAGGGTGAAGAGAGCACTTAGCATTGCTCTTACCACTTGAGTCACAACCACAAGCAAGCCTAAATTAAGCCGTGAAAAACATGGATAGCAATCAGTGTTCCCTGTATACTGAGCACTTGAATGGCCATCTAAGAGAGATTCACATGCAGCCCAGGTGATTAGCAGAGCCCACACAGCCACTAGCATGTGTTTCTACTGGTGGTGGATGTCTGTACATGCCTCAGTGCACAGAACCAAATTTATTCCACACATGGATGGAAAAAATTAGGGGGAACACTTGTAACAATAGCCCCAAACATGGCCTAATGACACTAGGATAAAATGGATTAAATGGCAAAAAATGGTGCATTTTTTCACGCAATGTGATGAATTGACAATAAATTCTTTCCCTTTAGGAAAGCTATGAGTTAGTCAAGAGAGGCATTTTTATGCCACCTTCTATCAAAAAAATGATTTGTAAACATACATGAGTGAAGTTTCTAAAGTTCATCACTACTGATGCTCCCATTTACAGATGGGAAACTGAGGCAGCAACTATACAGACAACAATTTAAGATGTGTCTGCTAATTGTGGGTGTCCGAGTTGAGATACTAGGGATTTTGCTGTAATTACTCTTTTGATTCGCTCCATCTTTGCTTGTCGGTAGATGCCTCTTGAGAAGTCAGGGAAGTGATATCACTATATCTGAATTATTATTATTACAGTATATAGTGTATCAATATTAAATTTTTTAGTCATTCAGTGGCAAAACAGAAGCATACAAGGGAATCTTCATATCTTATACTTACCAAGGGAACAAACCGGAAATGGAGGATCCCATGTTCCTTTGTCACTGCATATGCTCTTTCTACTTCCTTTGAGACTTAAGCCATGATTACATTTAAATATAATGGAGACGCCTAAATTATACTTTATTTGGTTGAATTGATGTCCAAATCTAAACTCTTGAATTTCAAATGTTCCATTTTCAATGTGCGGTATGGGACACAGAATCTCTACAAAACACCAAACAATATTTTTAGAATAATTTTCCCATTGTTATTTAGCATCTCTTTTTAAAAGTAATTTACTTCAGGATGAAGGTTTCTTGTCTGGCACCCTTGGGACCTGACTGGTTCTGAACCAGATAATTTTCCGGACCATGGGAGGTCAGTATTGTCTAGCAGCATTACCAACACTTCCACTGCTTGCTGGGCAGTTAGAGGACATTTAGGGGTAAATTAGAACTAAATAACAGCACAAAAGACTGAGAGCCAGGACTGGTGGCTATAAACAAACTTTATGGGACCGTGGGAAACTTGGCCACACCCATGAAAAGTGGACATCTGGCTAACTAAAATCATGTCTGATCACAGATGTTTCTGAACCAGAGAGTTCTGGACTAGAGATTGAACCTTTAATTAATCTTCAAGATTCCAATGAGATAGCTAAATAAGGATACTAGGGCTACATTCTGTTTGCAGTACAGCACCTTTGCACTACTCGGGCAATGTTGAGAAACCTTACAGCAGACCAGAGTTTCTGACCCAGTAGGACAGGCGGAAGGACCCCCACAGAGGGCATGTAAGTTGGGTCAGTGGTATAATCAACACATCGGGTTACAGTCTCAATGGGATCTCTCTGATCCAAACTGTCACACCTGACTACTAGCCCTATAGACCAAACCTCTCTCTCCAAATAGTACAAAATGTACTCCGACTCTGTGCATATGTGGCATAGAACTCATATTGCATCTTATTGAAACAGAACCTATTCATAAGGTGGCCAAAAGGAGGACTCCCTATGGTACAAATATCCTTGCATCTTTTCCTTCACTGTCTTTGAGCAAGTAACCTGGCATATTTTGTAGCTGTAACACCGAATAGATCACACTATGTATAAATGCAAATAGAGATCTAATCATTCCTCCATTTCAAATTATAGGCCTGTGTCAGCAAATTCATGAAGAGAAATGACAAACATCTAATATTTTAGCATTAAGTATAAGACATTCAAAGTCACAATGTTTCTATAGCTGTTGATCCATTTTCTATGCAATCCCAAACGTTTGGCCAGGTCTACAGTATGGGAGAAAGTGGTCCCAAGATATGCAACTTCAGCTACGTGAATAGCATAGCTGGAGTCGACATATCTTAGCTCAACTTACCACAAGGTCCCCACTGTGGGAGGTTAATGGGAGAAACTCTCCCATTGACTTCCCTTGCTCCTTGCGATCTGTTGGAGTATTGGAGTTGATGGAGGCATTATCAATGGTTGATTTAGCGGGTCCTTACTAGACCCACTAAATCAAACTCTAGGAGACTGATGTCCATGCATAAATCTGCCGATAAATGTTCTTTTGTAAGCACACAGCCATAGCAACATAGCAGCAGCAGATAGTTTCAAAACCAGACAGTTGTGGAAAATAATTTCTTCCTGCACTCGAGTCACAGTAACATTGGAACTATTGGCAGGTCTTCCTAGGGATTATGGGAGTACTACAGATGGGGCAATGGAACGGCCAGGGCATGAAAACCTTTGAGGCTGACAGCTCCAGCCCAGCTTCCTGCTGCTAAATTAAGCCACTAGGGTCTTTCCAGCTTGTACTCAGATTGTCTCTACAAACATACTGTCCCCACACACCCAGATGGGAATGCCACATTAAAAGTGCCATCCTCAGGAAAGCTGGATTGCGAACCAGTAACCAAAAGACAGACCAGGTGTGGGATGTGTACGAGGCAGGAATTCAGCACAACTGCAACAGGAGGAAGAAGCATTAGTTAGGACATAGGTCAGGGCAGATCACAAATACGGATGCCAGGGGAAAGAGGAGCATTGCAGCTGGGACTGACTTGTTTGCTGCAAAGAAGGAATCTGCAGTGAGCTGGTCCACGGACCTATATATGTTCAGTACTTGAGGCTAAATTCTTCAATAGCTCCCAGGAAATTGCCCTTTTCTAATCACAGGCATTCGAGTGTAATGAAGAAATGAATCACCTTTGCACTCAGGGGTAGGTTTGTCCCAGTGCGGAATTCCCCCATCACCAGCTGTACATTGAATGATGGATGCTCCAACAAGTGACCAACCATGGTTACAGGAGTAGGTCACCCTTGAGCCCACAAAGAAAACTCTATTCCTTCCACGATCGTGCCGTCCTTCAGAGATGGATGGAGGTCGCTCACAAACTAAAAAGAAAAATTCAGCATTCATACACAAGGGGACATCTCCGAAAGGACAAGAGGCAGCATAAATACAGTGGGGTTTGCTGGCACTCATTTATAACAAGAGGTGCTTCAAGAGGTCTCTAATATCACTGAAAATCTGCCAACACTTTGTGTTAGTTCCTGGCTCTGGGTCAGCATCATATCTATGGCACGGAGAGAGCGAAGATGAAAACAGGAAACAGGAAGAACACCCTGGAAATGGCTCTTTGACCTGTAGGGACACCGTGGACCAATGGTCACATGCTTACGATATTGAAGAACTGCACTGGGTCATCTGTACTGAATAACTGTGAATTACAGCCAGACCCTGAGTAGTCCTAAAGTCTTGCAGCTCCTATCTACTTCAAAGGTAGTGGCCTAGATGGGTCATACTGTCAGGAGACAGGGGTCCCATTGTGTTAGGTGCTGTAACAACACATAAGAAGAGATAGTCGAACCCCCAAAGAGCTTACAATCTAAACAGACAGGACAGAAAATAAGAGTTGGAGGTGAAACAGAGGCTCAAGTGTGCAAAATCAGCTGCCTAAAGGCACCCATTGGTCAATGGCTGACCCAGGAAAAGAACCATGGTCTTCTGACCCCAGGTCTTGTGTCCTACTCATAAGGATAGCTGTCTTCCTGGGTATTTAAGCCTTTGTGTTAAAGACCCACATGCAGCGATCTCTCTCAGTAGGACAAAAGCACAAGATGTCCCTTGTATGGTTTCAATTTGCCAGTCAAGAGAGTCTTGAGAATGCTACTCAATATCAAAATCCAGGTGGCAGCAGAAAGAAAAGACCTTGCAGCTCCCTGAAAATGGCTGAGCTAATATAAGTTGCCCATTGGTTTTGCTTTTTCTCTTTATTATATGTTGGATTCTTTGAAACACCTTTTCAAGAATGCAACAGGAAGAGTGCAAACTTCCTGCCTTGAAAAAGGCCTGGCTGGGATGACTTCATTAGGATCTGTCCCAGTTTTAGCAGGAGGTTGACTCAATGACCTCCTAAGGTCTCTTAGAAGCTTACAATTCTAGGAATGCAAATTCTTTGTGGCAGAGACCCTCCTGTCTTCATCTACATTTGTACAAAACCCAGCACAATGGGACCTTGAACCCTACGTCTTGTGTGTGCTACTATAATGGAATTGTATACACATGAGCAATGACATTCTGTGAATTCATTGCTTTCAGTCATTTGTATTCAAAGAATGGCAATGGCTGGACACGCAGTAAAGGTTTGTGTGTGGAATTGGAGAAGGCTATTAACAGCGTGGAGTGATGCCTTTAGTGGGTGGCAAGCCCTAACCCACATTTTGGAAAGGGATGGAGTCACAGGTCACCAAGCCAATCCAGCTACAAGCACAGGTGTGTGTTTACTGTGTGTTTGCAGAGCATTCATAGAATCATAGAACCATAGAACTGGAGGAGACCTCAGAAGGTCATCAAGTCCAGCCCCCTGCTCTAGGCAGGACCAATTCCAACTAAATCAACCCAGCCAGGGGTTTGTCAAGCTGAGACTTAAACATCTCTAGGGATGGAGACTCCACTACTTCCCTAGGGAACCCATTCCAGTGCTTCACCACCCTCCTAGTGAAATAGTTTTTCCTAACATCCAACCTGGACCTCTCCCACCACAACTTGAGACCATTGCTCCTTGTTCTGCCATCTGTCACTACTGAGAACAGCCTCTCTCCATCCTCTTTGGAACCTCCCTTCAGGAAGTTGAAGGCTGCTATCAAATCCCCCCTCACTCTTCGCTTCTGCAGACTAAACAGACCCAAGTCCCTCAGCCTCTCCTCGTAGGTCATATGCTCCAGCCCCCTAATCATTTTGGTTGCCCTCCGCTGGACCCTCTCCAATGCTTCCGCATCCTTTTTGTAGTGGGGGGCCCAGAACTGGACACAATACTCCAGATGTGGCCTCACCAAAGCCGAATAAAGGGGAATAATGACATCTCTGGATCTGCTGGCAATGCTCCTCTTAATGCAACCTAATATGCCATTAGCCTTCCTGGCTACAAGGGCACACTGTTGACTCATATCCAGCTTCTCATCCACTGTAGCCCCCAGGTCCTTTTCTCCAGAACTACTACTTAACTGGTTGGTCCCCAGCCTGTCACAATGCTTGGGATTCTTCTTCCCAAGTGCAGGACTCTACACTTGTCCTTGTTGAACCTCATCAGATTTCATTGTGCATGCCTGACAGGACTCAAACACTGGGGTCTTTCATGGGCACTCATACATCCACGGTCCCTGCAGAACTCATCAGAAGAAACTCAGCCTGCCTGCTGCAGCCCCAAACTACATCAGTTTCTCTTCTCCTCTTTCACCAGAGGGTTCCTGCCCCTCTTCTGGGCTTGTCCCCTGGAATGAACGAGGGTTGCAGGGGTAAAGCTGGAATGAACTGAAGCAGTATAACAAGACCCCAATGGTCCGCTCATGCAGTGCGGCCACTCAGTGACATGGTTCCTTCTGTAGTACTAACCACATACATTGAATCCCCTTCCACGTCCTCACCTTCTGATGGAAGAAAGGAGAGAAAGGGACCAGAAAGAATGTCTGTGAACTGCCTCTATGCCAATATCATTTGGCCTGCCTGTCAGTCATTGTAATGATCCTACAATTTTATCAGACTTTTCAATCTGTTACATCCATACCTACTCCATCTACCAGACAAATGCAGCTACTTCTCCCAGGCCCCAGCCTGGCAAAGTGCTTAAAATGTACTTCGGGTTTAAGCATGGATATGTCTCCTCCCGGAAATCAAGGCCATGCTTGTGCTGAGCTGAGCCTGTGCTCGAGAACTCTGTGGAACAAGCGCTTACATGAAGAAAAACACCTCATCTTTGGAACTACCAGAGAAGAGGGGGAGGCAGGGTGCAATGGCAGAGCTAGAATTTGGCGAGGAAACCAGGATCACTGTTCTAAGGACACGGGATCCTCAGGACCTTTTAGGAGATGACTGAAGGGGAAGACAGAGGTTCAAAGTGATAGAGGCAGAAGAAGGGAAGCGAGAAGAGAGGAGGTGGGGGTGGGAGCGAAGGGAGAGACCCTATTTTTCCAACTGGGGGCTCCACATGCTACCATAATACAAATATATAATAATGCATTTGTTTGGGATTAGGGCAGGTCCCTAAATCAGAGTTCTTCACTATTATACGTACGTGGTTCACAAACTGGTAATGGAGGACCCCATTCACGACTGTCTTGGCACATATACCGTGTTTCAATGTTTCTGAGAGCGTAACCAACATTACATGCCACGGTAATCCTGTCCTCATACTCATATGCTTCTTTTCTAGATCCGTACCTAAGTGTCGCTTTTCCATTGGGAATGTTTGGATATGGACATCGAACTCCTGCAAAGAAACATCCCCATCCCCAACAGAATTCAATCAGAGCAAAAACAACCCAGTAGCAGCAGATGTATCTATGGAGCAACATAACAATTTGCTAGCCACAGAAAGTCAGCCTTGCCTTCACATTTTTGAAGAGACTGGCTTTTGGTACAAGTTTTCCATCATCGAGTGAGATCGCAAATAATTTCTTCCTGCTGTGAATGTTAGTGGGCATGTCTCATGTGGATTGAGGAGTATCATTGTCAGTTTTCTTCTGGGCAACTATCTGAATTGCAGCTGGCAGGATATTTTGATTCTGATCAGGGCTCTGAACAACTCTGATTGCTGTGTTACAATAAATTCTGTGTAGAATCCGCCTTGATAGTCATCTGCTTTAAGTAATATGGAGGTGGTACATGGGAGCAGATGACTGGTTCATGAATGTACAAACTAAATTAGTATGACCCTGCTTCCTACTGTTAAATTAAGAACTCTCAGAATACACATTTACACACACTCTCTCTCTCATACACACACACACACACACACACACACACACACTTTGACCCACATATCGACTATAGAATAACAGGCTCCTAAATTTGTTAATTTGGTAGCTCAGATAAAACAAAGACAGCTAAACCAAAGATTAATATGCTTACTCTGACAAAAGTTTTGGTGTTTTGACCATGTAAAATCATTTAGACAGGTAACACTTGCGGAGGATATTCCAGGTTTTAATTCATAACCTCTCTCACAGTTATATGTCACAACAGTCCCAGCTGGAAACAATGTGCTGTGAGAATGATCTTGAGAAGCATTAGGAATGACAGGCGGGTCATCACAGCTACCTAAGAACAAAAATAAAAGTTAAGGGCATATGTAACTGGGAAATCCTAGTGACAATGCATTCTTCTCTACAAGAATGTGACATGAAAGACATATATTTTAAATAAACAAACAACCCCCCCCCTCCCAAATCTAAAACTATCACAAAACAAGAAACTTGGCTGCACATACTTTTCTCCCAAGGAGAGGGAAACCAAACCAAACCAAACAAACAAACAAAAAAACCCCCAAAAAACACATGCCAGCTGCAGTTACTTTATTTAATGCAATACTGGAAGACACTCAAATACGAGGGTAATGGATGCAATATAACAACTTATATAATAAATACATAAACAAACAACAATAACCTGTAGCTCTTCTTCAGTAGATCTCAAAGCACTTCACAAAAAAGGCCAATATCGTTATTCCCATTTTACGGGGAAAACTGAGCCACAGAATGAGGAAGCAGCTTGCTCATGGCCACCCAGCAGGGCAGTGGCAGAGTCAGGGATAAATCCAGGTCTCCTGAATCCCACATCCAGTGTGCTATCCACTAGGCAACACTGCCTGTGGCGGAATTAAACTGGAATCCCTATTTTCAACCTACAAAGCATTGAACAGCCGTACCATGGAGCTGTCAGCTCAGTGAGATGCAGGTTTACACAGCAGTGACGACTTCCTCTCTTAAAACCAAAGAGACATAAAACTGGTTGTATCACTATTTTAGCACTGGTCCTACAATTGACAGGTATCTTTTTCCTCCTCCCTCCCCAACACATAAACCAAACCAAACCAAACTTTCTGTTAGCACTGGACACTGGCATCCTTTTCCGGAAATGCTTAAAACGGAACAGTTTTCCGTTATAAATATTTCCGGAAAAAGCGCGTCTACATTGGCAGGATGCTTTTCTGGAAAAGCACTTTTTCCGGAAAAGCGTCCATGCCAATGTAGACGTGCTTTTCTGCAAAAAAGCCCCGATCGTCATTTTCGCGATCGGGGCTTTTTTGCGGAAAAGAAATCTGTGCTGTCTACACTGGCCCTTTTCCGGAACAGTTTTCCGGAAAAGGAATTTTGCCCGAATGGAAGCAGCATAGTTTTTCCGGAAAAACACTGATGATTTTACAGTTGATCGTCAGTGCTTTTCTGGAAATTCAAGGGGCCAGTGTAGACAGCTGGCAAGTTATTCCGGAAAAGCGGCTGATTTTCCAGAATAAGTGGCCAGTGTAGACACAGCCCTGTTGTTTCTACTCCAGCTCATCTGAGGAAGTGGGTTTTGCTCATGAAAGCTCATGATATATATTTAAAGTTACAGACTAACCCGGTTACACTTTGAGACACTGTAACAAATGTTCAGTTTAGTGTAGGTCCTCCCTGACAAGCCAGAAACAATCCTATTCCAAAGTGCCCTGGCATGTCTATCTTCTGGCAAGGTGGGTGAAATAATACCCTTTACTAGACAAGCTTCTGTTGGGGAGAGAGACAAGCTTTCGAACAGCACACTCTCGCCGTGTGTTGGGCCAATAAAAAGTATTACCTCACCCTCCTTGTCTTTCTAACATCCAGGGACCGACACGGCTACAGCACTGCATTATTGCTTGGCAGCCTAGGTAACCAGGTGCCTACATGGAGATTTTTCTGAAAAGCAGCACACAGATAACTAATTACACTAGCAAAGGTCCTGTTCCCGTCACCTCATGCTGATGAGGCAGCAGCGAAGGCCTGCTCAGTATTAGAAGTGAGGGCACTAGTAGGAAATAGGAGCTCAAAATCCTTCCGTACCATAGGGTGAAGCTTTGTTCCTATTGAAAACAATGGCAAAATAGCCACTGAATGAAGTAGAACTGGGATGTCACCTCATGTCTTCTACAGGTCCAGTACCTGCCTCCCACTAAAGTCAATCGCAAAACCCCAATTGACTTCAGTGGGAAACCCCATAAGATATTTGTATGTTATTAAATATAGAAGTTTGACTTCTAGTCCTTTTTTAATTCATTGGCAATATTCCCATGAATTGGTCTGAATAGGATCAAGAATTGGGCCTATGTTATGTTGTTTGTAATTCTGGATTCCTGGAGCTACTTTTTCCTCCCATGGTGCAGGCAGAAACCGTTTCTAGGAATAGAGTTAAGTGCAAAATGGAGATAACTATTCTCAGTCATGCCAGTGGGTGACTGAAGGACAAGGGGCTCAGATCTGCAGGCTCATCTCAAGCAACCCTGTCCCCGAATCTTGGGTGAACAAGGGCTGCAGGGTTGGTTTGAAGGAGATAGCAGTCACCCTATGGCACTTACTTCGCTCACAATCTGGTAACGGAGGATCCCAGCTGTTGTTTTCGTTGCACCGAACTACACTACTGCCTTTGAGGGTGTAACGGTGTTCACAGTCAAACATAACAGAGGATCTGTAGGTGTAGACAGGACTATATCCAATCAGCTGTTTTCCATGGTTAACTTTTGGCTGTTCACACCGAACGGCTGTGTAAGAAAAACACTGTCAGTGTGGGACCTGTATTGTTAACTCAAAATTGGGAAACAAAGATACTTCTGTGGAATCTGATCTATTTACCAGGAGGATGTAGATTTGAAAGAACATGCACATGGCCCCACAGAGAATCATGGCATGACTAAACATGTCTGGTCTGTCTCCCAAACCATCTCCCCCACAAGCTAACTCTGATTTCTTTGAAACATTGTGTTAAGGAAAAGCTGAACGATATAATGCCATGTTCTCCAATTCCTTGGGGTATCAGTTTTGATGGAACCTAGTAAACAAGTTTTAGTCTTCTTCAGGTCTTTTCTTACCTCCAGTACAGTATCAAACAACGCCTGCTGAATTTAGTGACTGTCATCAAGGACAGTTCTGTTACAGGCGATTGTGGGATATAGGGTTTGGGAAGGGGGGGGTTGGGGGAGAGAGAGAGAGAGAGAGAGAGAGAGAGAGAGAACACATGCATGCACATAATTACATACTTTGACACGACAGATCTCATTGAGCAGCAGGAGCTGTATGAACTGCCCCTTCTTGCAACTTAGCATTCATGAACAATATAAAATTATTTCTCCAATCAGAGTTCCAGCTGTGCTTATGGCTGATCCAGACACGCAGACCGTGTCTCCTGTGAAGAAGATATGCTTCTGGTTTTATGAGCAGAAACCTCAGCTGGAATATCTCCCAGAATGAGTGAAAGATTTGAACCCATTTGGGTTCTTTTCATTTCAAATCATTCAAAATTGAACCATTTTTGTTTGCTTTTTAATTCCATATATTCCCCCCCTTTGATCCCCATATAGGTCTTATAAAAATATGACCTGTTTTTAAAAAACCCTTAATATAGGGTTTTCAGTAAGTTCCATTACCATTTTAATAATATCTGATACAAGTTTTCTGGGAGAAAAACCATTACAAATAATGTCATGAAAAATAAAACAATTTTCAATCATTTTTATCACATTTTTAAAGGACTTTTTTGACATAAAAACTTGAACATTTTTCATTCTGCTCCAGTTATTCTGAGGACTCTGAGGGTGCATCTACTTAGCACCCTTACCTCCAAATAGCTTATTTCAAAATTTGACCAAATTTTGAAATAAGGCACTGTTCCAAAACGTCCCTTAACCCCTATGCAATGAGGTTTACAGGGACATTGAAATAGCGAGCCCGTTATATTTCGATATAACGGGCTTGCTCTTAAGATGCAGAATAGCTATTTCAGGATACTGGAGGTATCCCAAAATAGCTCCGCTGTGTAGATATAGCCTAAGTGAATCAACTAAATAATCCCCATTCTTCTGTCCTTCTCCTCTCCTTGCCCACCCTACTGCATGCCCAGCTCCATCCTTGCAGTCTTAATGCTGCTTCGCACTGACAAGCAGACCTTATCTGCTTATCTCTTCCCACACTGACTGACCCAGCTTCATATCTGTAACCTGGCTCCTTGTCTAAGGGAGGCACTGGAAGGAACACAGAGTGTGGCAGATCAAGGTAGGTCTTGGCAAGGTGACTAGGAACTCATGCCAGTCTGGACACAGTACATGCATTTTCCTGCACCCCAGCAACATTCTCCAATGGGTGTTACTGATAACATGCAGTGAGGAGTGGGGATAAGATGAATCAGTGGACAATCTGTAAGGGTACGTCTACACTGCCTGGCTATTTTGAAAGAAGCTATTCCAGAATTGCTATTCTGAAATAGCTTATTTCGAAATAGCACGTCTACACTGAAAGGAAGCCTCAAAATTAGTCTGAGACATGCTTTCCTAAAGTAGATGTGCTATCTTGATTTAGAGCCCCAGGAGGCACCGGGGAGGAATAACTTAGAATGGCCTTGGTGAGGGGCTATTTCAAAATAGCAGCAGTGGAGCATCCACATATGCCTTATTTCAAAATAGCTAGTTCAGAATAGGAGTTATTCCTCGGAGAATGAGGTTTACAGATTTTGGAATAAGCTGTCCGTTAATTCAAAATTATTTCAAAATCACGGAACGGTTGTGTAGACGCTCACATTGTTATTTCAAAATAACGCTAGTTATCTCAAAATAACAGTGCAGTGTGGACGCACCCTTAGAGAATGGCACAGTTCTGACTTAGGTTGCTAATGTGTGTGTGTACACAACCACCCTTGCCTTAGAGTAATTGGATTATGTCACCTTTGCACTGAGGGGCAGGCCCGCTCCAGTGTCCGTTGACATTATCCGTGGTTGTACAGTGAATGGAGGCCTTTCCGATAAGTGAGAAAGGCACCTGTCCTCTCTTTTCAGCATCACACTGGTAAGTGACAGATGTTCCATAGTTGAATTCCTCCATGGTCGTCCCAGTATGTGTCCCATGCTCTATGTCTGGCGGAGGCAGACACGGTATCACTGAAGAGAGAAAAAAAAGGAGGGAGAGGGGGAAGAAAGGAAGTGAGAGAGAATTTAATGTATGTCCTAGTTAAAGAAAAGGCCAAAACACAATGGACCAGAACCTCAGTTTAAAATCAGTGTACCTCCATTTGACGCCAAGGGAATACTGTACTCTGATTCCCATTGGCTACTGTGGAGTGATAGGTTATGGGTCTGGCCTATAGGAGACAAGATTTTAAAACTAGAAAACAGGGCATCTTTCCTAATGTATATATGCAGCCACAGTGTGATGGGAGTGGATGCATAGATAGAAGGATTATGAAAACTGAAGGCGGGAGGAGAAATCAAACGGAGATCTTGACCGTCAAGAGTATGAAGGATTCTATGGCACTTTCTACAAACGCAGAAGCATGAGTTCTGGCATTCTGATAAAATTCCTATTTTGGTAATTAAACTCTGCTTATAGTTTCAGTTATGTGCAGAATGCTTCAGTCCTAAACAGTTACTGCTTCTTCTAGGGAAACACCCCTGTCCCTTTCCATCCTAGGGATAGTTGTGTATGAGTGGCAGGCAAAGTTCTCTCTAAATATACAGATATCAGTAAAATGCTTGGAGATTGTGCTATATGCATGTTAATGCTACACCTCTGAGGAGCAAGTAGGGTCTGATTCAATTTACACTAGCCGAGGATCTCTTGACCAAGAATCTGATTCTTTTGGGCTTCTAGCCCACATTAGAGTAGAAAGTTAACAAGGTTTTCTACAGCATAGTACAAGAGGAAAACAAAACTGAAGCATTCAAGATTTAGTATGCAGCAAACTGATAAATGAGTTGTGTTGCAGAATCCATCCAGCAGGAGAAAATATTGTCTAACTCTGATTATACTTTCACTAGAAAGCTATTAAGAGTCTCTACTCACGCTGGCAGTATGGAATCTCTTTGTCCCATGTGACTTGTGATCCTTCAAGCACACATTTTCTTTGTGCCGTTCCAATTAGTCTGTACCTGAATAAAGGGACAGGGAAATTACTATGCAAAGTGCGATTGGATGTGCTGCCCACTCCATCATCAATAAGGCTTTCTTTCTCTTACATCATGATTAGTAGGATTGGTCCACAAGTATTCATCAAAACTATTTTTCAACAGTAAATTGGATTTTCAATTGCTTTTTACAAAAAAAAAAATGTATCTGATGTTTGCAGAAAGTTCCCATGGTTCACGGGAAAACACCATGCCTCCAAACGGAAATTTTTTAATCTCCAAATACTGTCGCAGTGCCACACTGGAACTGCAACTTAGATACCTCGTTCTCCTATGTAGGCTGGGTTCCTTGGAGAGGCTACATCTCCAATGATTAATCCTGGCCTTTACAAGGAGAGGTAGGATCATGGGAATGAATCTATGACTGAGTTGCTTCTGGGCTCAGGACAAATAATTGTCAAGTCCCTAGTCAGATGGACAGAACCAAAAAGGTATTTTATTTAGCTATTGCCCCTTTCAGGCAGGGCACCCATCTGCAGCAGATTTACTCAGCACTAGCAGGCAGGTCACCAATGACAAATCAAACAGAATCCTGTATCATGCCCATCTTCCTACAGAGAGGACCTGGCAGGCAACTGTCTCTCAGATAGGGATCTAATAGGATAACCGTTTACATGGGTTAAACCATAAGCCTGTCCCTCTCCTGGGGAGCTGGCTGCCGCACTATGCTTCTGCCTCTGTATCAGAGGCAGGAGCACAGGGCAGCAGCCGGCTCCTCGGGAGCAGGGCCAGCAAGCGGGAGCTGGTATGTTTGGGAGTTGGCTTTTAAGCTGACTCTCAATGCACAGTAGCTCCCAGGGAGCTGCCTGCTGCCCTGCAGTGCAGGTGCGTGTAACTGCTGAAATGTTCAGTGGTTACACAGTTATCCAAATTACCCGCTCTTTTAAATCCCTATGCTGAAGCCATTCTTGGCCTTAGCCAGGCCCCTCTCAAAGTGAGAGTTGGCAATCTGGTCTCCTTCCCAGTCAGCCTCTAAACCTGGCACCTACAGCAGCTGTAGCAGGGTGGGGATGACTGAGACTACATCAGCTCTTGGACCTTGTCCTGGGATTTGTGTGCCCTACTGAAAAGTCCCTGGTCTGTTAGCCTGACACTGATCTCAGGCAAAGTCATAGAATGACTGATAGGGGTTAAAAGGATAGCTGATAATTAGCATGGTTATGTGGAAAATACATCTCAAACAAACTTGATATTATTTGTTCATTAGATTGGAAGTTTGGTTGATGAAGATAACTCATTGATATAATATACAGTACTTGAACTTCAGTAAGGTGGTGGATTTAATACAGAATGAGGTTCAGATTTTTAAAAAAGCAGTGTACACAAAAAAAAAAATCAACCTAACACATATTAAATAGATTAAAACTAGCTTAACTGGCATATTTCAAAAAAGGACTTTATAAATGAGTGTGTCCTCCAGGGGGGTGATTTCTACCAGGGTCCCTGTGCATTTGTTTTCACCCCCGTGCTATTGAATATTTTTATCAATTATTTGGAAGAAAATACACAACCATTGCTATTGAAATCTGCAGATGGCACAGATGGTGCAATGGTAAATTATGTGAAGGTCAGGTTACTTTTATTGAATGATCCTGATTGCTTGGTAACCTTAGCTCATCTGAACACCATACATTTTAATACAGTTCAACAGGCATAGGTCTAGGAATGGGGAGACGGTGTCCTGGAAAGCAGTGGTTCTAAAAAGGAGTGAGAGGTCACGGTGAATCAACAAGTGAACACAAGCTCCTAGGTTGTGTGTGGACTTTTGTTGACAAAACTATACCTGTGTCTACAATACCACCGAGTTCTGTCGACATAACGTCAACAGAACTCGGCAGTTTTGTCAATGACGGTAAACCTCATTTTACAAGGAATAACGCCTTCTGTCGACAGAGTTCTGTCGACAGAAGGCATTCTTGCATCTACACTGTCCTTTGTGTCTACACTCTCATGTTGACAATGCGGATTGCTTTGTCGACAGAACTGGATGTAGTCTAGATGCTCTTTGTCGACAGAAGCTTTGTCGACAATATTTGTTGACAAAACTTCTGTCAACAAAAGCCTGTAGTCTAGACGTACCCCTAGTGAGATACTGTGGCTAAGAAGACCGATGTGATACTTGGAAACATAAACAGGGGAGAGTTCAGTATGGAGTCAGAAGAAGTTATTACCTTTATATATAGGCGCCATGAGACTAATACTAAAATATTGAATCTGATTCTGCTGTGCACACTCTGAAGAAAGACATAAAACTAGGAAACATGTAGAAAAAGGTTACTAAAATGAAGACTGGAGGCCAGGAAAATCTGCCTTCTTAAAGTGGAGGAAGCTCAATCTATTTAGGTTTTCAAAAAGCAGGGTAAGAGGTGATGTGTGGATGGTCAACAATACTGACATGATTCGAAGGCATAAAAAGATCCAATAAATGGAAACTTAAAGGAGATAACAATTTGTGCCTTGTCAGTAGCCTGAATTTAACAATTAACTATTTGAGCAACCTACCAAGGGACATAGTGGAGTCTCTAAAACAAGACAGGAAATCTTTCAAAAAATATGATCTAGCTCCAACCGTCAGTGGGTGAAATATGGGTGACATGTTCTGGGCTATGTTATACAGGAGATCAAACTAGATAGTCATAATGGTCCCTTTGGAAATTAACAACCTGTACATCTATCACCCCATTACTTACCCCTCTTCACAGGTGAAGTTTACAGTTGCACCAAATACAAGATCAGTTAGAATAATAAGTCTGCCATTTTCTAGCTCTCCAGGGTGAGGGCATGTTCTTGCTAGAAAAAAGTAGACAGGAATTAATCTTTATTTGTGGGGGAGAGATGAATTGAGCCAGGCAAGAATATTCATGTCTAGAAATGGACTGGATCTTGGAAGTACAGATAAGTGAGTAGATAGGGAATGTTTTATTAGACGCGATCAGTTTATTTTCTCTGTTTTGTAATTTGGTTAAACTCCTCTGTGCTGAGTTAATGTGCCCCATCCCCTTACATTGTAACTAAATCCGCATCCTAGGGAAGCAATTCTCTGTGCTTTAATATGCTTTTTTCTCATTTGCTCTATAACTCCTAGCAACCAAATATGCTTAAGTACATATTTTTGTTTTGTTAATAAAATCACCTTTTTAAAGACTATGATCTGATTCTTGTGTCCTGGAAAGTAATTGGAGGTCTGTGTATGCATAACTAAGACTGAGAGGTCTGCTATCAGAGATTAGAGTTTGTTCCCCTCCCTGCAAGATCTCTTTTGGTAAAAGAAATTCCCAAGTGACTCTTCCTGGGTTCAAGAAAAAAGGGGCTTTTTTCCACTTGGGTCATGGCCACATACCTCCCTAGGTCAGGGAATCTGTGACCTTGGAGAGATTTTAAGCAAAAGCCCATAGAGGCAAAGCATTTTTAAGGTCTCTCATGGGCCCTCACCTTCTGCACTTGAACAGTGCAGAGTGGGGAACAGCTTTGACAACATCTTTGGAGTTGCACATAAAAGATCAAAGAGCAGCCAGGGCCCAGCAATAAATGTTAGTGTCTGCTGACCTGGTTTCAGATACAAACTGACAATGGAGTGGTGAAAGCCTTCATTTTGCATCAGTAAACGTCTCCCCTCCCTCCAGGCATACAATCCTCGTATTGGGCTCTTTAGTCAAAAAGGGCTGATGAAAAGCAATTAGTTTTTTTAAAAAGTAAAAAAAAAACCCACAAAATACTCACCCTTGCAAAATTCTAAGGTGGTTGTCCATTGAGAATTTGCCATGCACCGAAGAGAAGATTTGTACGTCTTGACATATCCAGAGCGGCAGTTGTATTCCACTATACTATCAACAGGGAAGTTATTCGTATTTCTGTAGTCCTCCTTCAGCTCAGCAAAATTGAAGCGCGGTGGTTCAGGACAATTACCTAGAGAGAAAACAGGCACCATAATTAGGAACATCTGCTAGAGTCAAGACCTCATTTACATATAAAATGTCCATTATTGGAATACTACAAGGGTCTTTAAAAAGTTACCTGAGCTCTGCCTCCTAACTGATCCCCTGCTGCCTCCTATGGTTCTCTCAGCAAAGTTATTTCAAAATAACTGTACCAGCATCTACATAGCCAAACTGCTATTTCGAAATTAAATCGAAATAGTGGAGGGCTTATTTTGAAATCGGGAAACCTCATTCCACAAGGAATAGCACCAATTTTGAAATTGCTATTTCAAAATAAGCGCTGGGTCGATGCTTATTTTGAAATAGGGGGCCTCCAGACCTTCCCAGGGTGCCCTGCTGGCCACTCTGGGAACAACCAAGAAAACTCCTCTCCCTTCCCAGAGCCCTTAAAGGTGTAGACTCTGGCCACAGTGCCTGTGCCAGTTCCAAGCCTGCCAGCCCAGAGCCAGCAGTCGCTGCACCTGACCCTGTGGCCCCAGCATGAGCCAGGCAGCCAGCCCTCCACTGCTCCCTAGGACCAGTCTGTCAGCTCCTAGGAGCCTGCCAGGGGCTGGAAAAGGCAGGCGCTTGCCTGGTCCAGTGCGGAGATCAGGGACCTAATTCAGGTTTCGGAGGATGCCTCCAACATTCATAATCTCCACACTAAATGGAGGAACGCAACTGTTTACAGGCGTATGGCAGCAAGCATGGCCACCAAAGGCCACATGCGAACCCAGGAGTAGGTTCGCATGAAAGTAAAGGAGCTGCACAGGCGTATGCCAGGGCCACAGGGGGCAGCTCCCAACCACGTGCAGACCCAGACTCCTGCCCCTATTTTGATGCCGTGGATTGCATCCTGGTCATCGACCCTGGGGCAGAGCTTGCTTCCTCCTGCTGCCTCCCCAGCTACCGCTCCTCCTCCCACTCCTTCTCCCGCTTTTTCCTCCCCACCATCCCCACACCCCCAGGGATGTTGAGGCCCCTGCACCTGCAGTGCTGGGAGACAGTTGGGCCGGTGAGACCCCCAATCCTGAGCCCTGAGCTTCTCCTTCCCCTTCCTCTCCATGTCAGCTCCCTCCTCCCAGGTTTCCCCCTCCCCTCTCCCACTCTCCCTCCTCCCCTCTCCCACCTTCTTTCCCCAGTATCACCTCAGTTTCATTCCCCCCATCCCAGTTTTATTCAATAAAGAGACTTTGTTGTAATGAACTCATGTGTTTTTTACTGTACAGCAGGAAGGGGGTTAGGGAGGGGTAAGTGGAAGGACGTGAGGGAGGAATGAGGCACAAGCCTCCAGGGGAGTACACCAGGGAGACTTTTACTGTCTGCAGAATGTGCTGCCAGGCTCGCAGCAATATGTCCAGGAGAAGCACCAGAGTGTCCAAGAGCAGCTGCAGAGTGCTGTGGTATTCTGAATGGGGGCAACCAGACTATGCAGAGAAAAAATGCTTTGCTGTCCCTCAGTAAGGTAGACAAGAAAGCAGGGAAACCTTAAACTGGGTGTCCGGGGCGGGGGAAGGAGTGTCCCTTTAAGCACAGGTCTCAGATACCTTGTGTGGCTGCTGCCTGAGGCTAACTCCTGACCTGATGCCCTGCCAGAACCAGTTCTGGCTGACCTTAAATGCGATTCAGTGTTCCTATCAGTGTGGACATGCTATTTCGAAATGCATTTTGTGTCTAGACGCGTTATTTCAAAATAAGCTATTTCAAAATAACACTGTAGTGTAGACATACCCTCAGAGATTTCACTTAAAAAAAATTGGCACCAAAGAAATCTAAGTTGTCTTAAAGCCGGGGAAATAATTTTCACATCTGTACGAGGAATGTAAGGGATGCATGAATTTTTTTCTCTGCAGCTTGTCTGGACAGAACATAATATATCCTTACCCATGATCACTGTCAAGGCTGCTGTGTCACCAGCTGTCCCACAAAATACCGCAGGTTGGGTCCTGGAAGGTGGATAAGCAGCTGGGTTGCAGCTGCTAAGGTGAATGTCCACAGCGAATATCCTTGTACCCAGTTTATTCTACACTTTGAATCCAGATGGGGAAGGCGTAAATTATTGGAGGGGAAATAGACCTGGTGCTTGTGAGGTTATTGGTAGTAGGAGGAAAGGAATGGTCAAAAGGTTTGTGAAGGAAGTGCTAGAATGAACTCAAAAGAAACTGTTGCTCTCTGGCTTAAATTCTTAAAAGGCCAGGAAAACTTTGTGGCCTACTTTTGCCACCAGTCATTAACCCCATTATAAACACCCCTGAGTAGGCAGGACTCAAGAGTCCTGTGATCATGGATGCAACCCTGAGAAATCCTGCATATCCAGGCACATGCTTGATTTAAGGCACATATTGTTCATCACTCCAAAATATGCACACTCGTCCAAGCCTCTCACATCTCAAGAACTTGAGCAAAGTGTTCAGTTAACCATTGCCATACACCTTGGCTGTGTCTAGATGACATCCCTCTTTCGACAGAAGAATGGAAGGGTATGTCTACACTAGCTCGTTAGTTCGAGCTAGGTAGGCAAATGAGGGCTTCATTTGCAACTCCAGTTGCCCTCATTTGCCTACCTAGCTCGAGCTAACGAGCTAGTGTAGACAAAGCCTAAATTAGACACTTCAAAATTGCAAATGAAGCGGGGATTTAAATATCCCGTACTTCATTTGCATAATCATGTAACGGCGCTCATTCGAAAAAGCGCCATTTCAAAAGTAAAACCGCGGTCTAGATGTGGTTCTTTCAAAAGATCCTGGACTCCTTGTCTAGCCCACGGTTTTACTTTTGAAATGGCGCTTTTTTGAAAGAGTGCCATTACGCAATTATGGCAAATGAAGCGCAGGATCTTTAAATCCCCACTTCATTTGCAATTTCGAAGTGTCTAATTTACATCCCTCTGTTGAAAGAGAGATGTAGTCTAGACAGAACTCTTGTGTAGTCACTTACACTAGTGCAATGTAGATGTAATGCACTGCAGTTCTCATTTTGCACGGATGTAAATGATTGCACAGGATGTCAGGAGTAGAAAAGTATCAAGCCCCAAGGGCATTGGGAAGACAGGTTCTCATCTCTTGCAAGACTGCGGATAAACTTCTAGTGGAATTTGAGATGACCCAAGACCCAGAAGTGCAGATGTAGCGGGAAAAATGATCAGAGGGAAACAAAGTTATATGAACCTCCAATAACAGGTTCTACACATTGCGGTTTCACTGGATGTTCAGGTTGGTTGTTTTATCCAGATGGATTTTTGCCTGATACTCATGTTTACTCACTGTGTACAGCAACAACGAATACAGCGGCAAGTAACAGTGGGATGGCAGGGTTTAGTGAAATCATCTTTCTTTGTGTCACAGTCTCTTCTGTGCAGACCTAGCAAGGAAGTTACCACATTTCTGTCCAGGCTAAATATCTGTAAAGATAAGGGGATGGGGGAAGAAAAGTCTTTAACATTTAGAATGGACATACACTGTAAGCTTGATGGGGCAAGGACCACTTTTTGTACTAGGCTTGTATAGCAGCTAGACTCTAGGGCAGTGGTTTCCAAACTAGGGGTGACGACCCAGTACAGGGTCATGGAATGTCAGGCACTGGGTCTCGTTGCTGCAGAGGGATCAGGTGACTAGTGGGGGTGCTAAGGCCTCTCCCTCCTTCTCCTGGTACTGCAGCCTGCATAGTGCCACACAAGTGGCCAGCAACAGGATTGGCTCCTAGGGGGAGAGGGCTCCGTGCACTGCCTCTGTCCCAAGCACTAGCTCCACACTCCCATTGGTTGGGAACCTGCTTCTGGCTGCTTCTGGAGCACAGCAGGGTCTGTGGTGCCAGGAGAGGCAGCCCCCCCCACTGCACCGCTGACTGGAAGCCGCTCAAGGTAAGCCCCTCTGTGTTGCTGGGCTGCTTCTGGAGTGCAGCGTGGTCTGTGGTGCCAGGAAGCCTGCCTTAGTGCCCTGCTGTACTGCTGACCAGGAACCACTCAAGATAAGCCCCTCTTGCCCAGCTCTGACCACCACCCCCAAAACCAGAGTCCCCAAAAAGCTCTCATCCTCAACCCCACCCTAGAGCCCACACTCTAGTCAAATTATGTTGGGTCCCGGGCATCAACAATTCTCTTCAACTGGATCACGAGAAAAAGAGTTTGAAAACCGCTGGTCTAGGGTCCCACAGTGGCCCATGCCTGGGACTCTTATGTGCACTGGTCATACAAGTAATAATAAACATAATGCAATACACAGCTCCTGCACCCCTGATCTCGAAGCACTTTACAGCAGAGCTCTGTGAGATGCAGCCTCAGCAGGTGTAGAATGCAGTCGTCCCATGGAAGCCTGGGGTGCCACCCTGATTTACACCTGCAGAGGGTCTGGCCTGGGCTATTCAAAACAGAAGCAGGGTGGGGAAAATTGAGAGCAGAGGTGAGAGCAAACATCTCTGCAACAAGACAACAAGGATTTGAGTGTAATTTTCACATAACTCGTACAGGCTTTCATCAGACGCATATCTTGGATTTTTTGAGGTCTTTCCATGAAAAATAAAATCCCATTTGTTATTTAACTTTTCAGTCTATTGAAACTTGCCTCACAGCACACTTTCCCAGGGCACATTCACAGCACTGCAAACAGAAATACCTGAGTCAGCAACAAAAGCCACATTAACCTAGTAAGTTATGTCAATAACACGGCTCAAGTCAACCTTCAATCCTCCAGTTCTAATAATTGCAGGTGGGATGGCTTAAAGACGATAGCAGTGGCCTGAGACCCAAGAGATTTGGACTCTATTCCTGGCTGTGCTGCTGGCCTGTCATAAAACCACAGGCAAGTAACTTTGACACTCCGTGCCTTGGTTTCCCCACCTGTGCCCACTGAGATAGAGAGTTATAGATCAAATACAAATGGTCAAGAGCTATTTGTTTCTGTCAGCTGTGTTGTGACTGATATTGCAACTGCAGGAATGATTGGTGGGGACCATATGGTATTCATCTTATGAATAGGTCATGTATCACTGTGGCTTAGACACTCTACACAACTGTGGGAGGAGAGGAGTTTAGCGCAGTTCCTCCAGGAATCAAGAATAGTGGGTGAGGGCTTAGGGTGATTAAGATTAATCATTTAGGATGCACACACCTCCAGAGAGGTACCATCAATGGGGAGGTTCATATATACTGGGTCAAGTCTGTATTTTCCACAAAGTAAGTGATTCCGATATAAAAAGGCTGAGTTTAAGAACATAAGAACGGCCATACTGGCTCAGACCAAAGGTCCATCTAGCCCAGCATCCTGTCTGCCAACAATGGCCAATGCCAGATGCCCAAGAGGGAGTGAACAGAACAGGGAATCATCACGCGACCCCTCTCCTGTCATCCATTTCCCGACAAACAGAGACTAGGCTAGGGACACCATTCCTACTGATCCTGGTTAATAGACATTGATGTACCTAATCTCCATGAATTTATTTAACTCTTTTTTTTAAAACCCTGTTAAAGTCCTACAACATCCTCTGGCAAGGAGTTCCACAGGTTGACTGTGCGTTGTGCTGACAGTCAGTTTAAACAGATTTGTGGCCTCCTATTGATAAAGCAAATGTTCTGGGCATGGACTTTAACCTAACAAATTCATTGGTACCTCCTTGGAAAAGGTTAAATTACAGACAGTGCTTTTTTTGCACCTATTTTCCCTGCATAGTTCAAATGAATTGCATTCCCCTCGGGCGTACTGGCACTTCTTTTCCTAGGGTGGCTGGGCTCGCGATGGAAGCCCATTCAGGACACGTGGCTCTTAAAAGGGTCTGAGACAGCATTTCGGCCCCTGGCGCAGCTTTGTTTTTCTCTCTCTCTCTTTTTTTCCTCAACAATTTCCTCCCCCTCCTCCCTGGAGTACCAGCACCTTTTTTCTTAGAAAAAAAAGCACTGATTACAGACACACAACCTTTTCTCAGATCTACTATGGAAATTACATCAAAGTGCCGAGTGTGGCTCTTAAAAGGGTCTGAGACAGCATTTCGGCCCCTGGCGCAGCTTTGTTTTTCTCTCTCTCTCTTTTTTTCCTCAACAATTTCCTCCCCCTCCTCCCTGGAGTACCAGCACCTTTTTTCTTAGAAAAAAAAGCACTGATTACAGACACACAACCTTTTCTCAGATCTACTATGGAAATTACATCAAAGTGCCGAGTAACAGAA